ACCCCACCGTCTGCCAATGCACCATCACCCTGGAACCCTGCCCCTGCGCTGACAGCCTTCTCTTGTGGCCCCTCCTGCTGCTGCACCGGCTGCTCTGCTGGGCTCTCTTGCAACAACCCGTCAACTTGCAGCATCTCAGCGGACAGGCTGTTGCCGCCACCAACGCCCGCAGGAGCAGCAGCTGCAGCACCAGCAGCGCCACCACCTGCACCAGCAGCATCAGGTGCGTCTCGGCCTGAAGCATGATCACGCTCTGAAGGTGCTGCCAGGCTGACCAGCAGCTGCATCAGACCAGGGCTCTGCAGGTAGCGTCGCCTATTGTGCACGTCAAACGCAGAATTGCCCAGCGCATGCAGTGCAGCACAGCGCACCTGCACGCACGCAAAACAAGGAGGATGGCAGTGGGATCAAGTGGTGCAGCTGGTGAAAGATTGCCAGGCTACTGAGCAGCCATGCTCAATGCAAGTATTGCTTCCACTCACAATTTAATATAGACAAGCCAATGCCAAACGCAGGCAGGGGCACACACTGAACACAGGGCGCAGCAAAGCAGAGGAAATGGATGGGTCACGCTGGTGCCGCTGCAGGGCTCAACTTGCTGTAAGGTCGTCAACAGCCCCAACTCTTGCCCTCCCTGGTTACATTGATGTGGTGCGGCTATAGGGGACAAGGCGAAAAGCAAGCCAGCTGCTGAGGGTATGCCATGACTGCGTATCGCAGCAGGCATGGAGTGACCGCACAGCACCACATAGCAAAGCAGGACTGACAGCCTGCAGCAAATAGGCAGGAATAGAAACATCAAGCACACATGCATGTACAGGCAACCAGCTGCGTACCACAAGTACAACATTGCCACACAGCACAGTATGCCCACAATCAATGGCTGATGTGTAAGCAGTTGGGTTCTGCAGCGCTGAGGCACCCTGACTGTAGCAGGCACATCAGCAAGCGCATCTCAAAAACAACTTAACGCCGCGCGCACTGCCACTTGCTGCGTTCAGAGAAGACAGGGCACATTGGTGTGTTCAAGTGCTACGCCATGACAGATATCTGGTCAGATAGGAAGCTGCGAACAGTCCAGCACAGACTGCCACTGAAGGAGGCTCAGCCCCCAGGAAAGCCCCTGTGTGTGGGACACTTGCTGCATTAGTCTAGGCAGTGTCAGTGACAGCAAACTCTCTGCGGGGCCCAGCACTCTGTGCGGGGCCATTTCTCTCATTGTTTGAAGATGATTACATGGCTGTGCACATCGAAAACGGAACACTTCGAGGACTGCAGCGCGCAGGACACAAGGATGAACCACAAAAAGCCTCAGAGAAGCAACTCACAGCTTCCTCACCAGTGATTGAAGGGTTGCACGGTGTGCTCAAGTGGCAACGCCACAACGGACACCTGAAAATACAGGAAGCTGCGAGCAGCTCAACTCAGACTGTCACTCACCCCCTAAACACAAACTCTGTGCAGAGCAAAGGAACAACAGGACGGAACCAGTGTTGACGCCATCAATAAAAACAGAACAAGTAGACATGGCATCAACTAGCAAGTACCGGGCACCTCGGTGCTCCTGCTTCAGGTGCTGAAGACATCGTACAGCATGCTAATCAACATGATGAAAACTGTCTGCTACTTGAACTGCATCTGGAACTTACATGGCTTGGACTGCGACAGTTGAGGGGTTGGACGGTGTGTTCAAGTGGCTATGCCACAACGGACACCTGATCGAAAAGGGTAGCTACGAACAGCTCAGCTCAGACTGGCACTCAAGGAGGCTCAACCCTTGGACTGCGAGCAAACACTAACAGCACAGAACATGCAACCGTATGCAGCAGATTGAATATAAGAACAGCGCAGGCAGAAAAAATATCCAAGCGAGGCTATGACAGCTCTTGGCGCCAGCTGCAATGGCCGTCAACCACTCGCAGTAAGGAGTGACCAGCTGGCACAGTCCCCAGCCAGGCCCAGGGCGCCCGCCTTGATGACTATGGCATCCACCAGCAGCTCTCAAACCAAGCCACCGCCTCCTTCTTGCGGTGAGCACCAGCCCATCAAGCTCACGCTGCGGCTGCTGCTGAAGCAGGATCGAGGATAGTTACATGGGTGTGCACGTTGGAAACGGAACACTTCAAGGACTGCAGCCTCCTCACCCAGAATAACACATATTCTGCGCAGAGACGGAACAACAGGATGGAACAAACAGTGTCGACAACAACGGATAGGAACGAAATATGTAGACATGGCAACAACTAGCAGGTACTGGGCACCTCGGTGCTCCTGCTTCAGCTGAAGCCTGCTGGTGCTGAAGACATTGTACAACATGATGATCAACATTATCAAAACTCTCTGCTGCTAGGACGCGCACAAAGCAGCAGCAAAACCCGCAGCTCAGTGGCATCACAACCACCTGCCACCCTAATGATGTGTCAGGCCAGGCCACACCCCCAGGATTGAGGAGAGGAGAGTTACAAGGAATGGCACCGCTCCAACACACCTACTGGCTGACATAGGCGTCATGAGAGTACGAACAGCACACGCAGATTGAGGAGAGTTACATGGGTGTGCACGTCGGAAACGGAACACTTCGAGGACTGCAGCGCGCAGGACACGAGAATAAACCACAAAAAAACCTCAGAGAAGCAATTTGCAGCTTCCTCACCCAAAATAACACAAACTCTGCGCAGAGAAAAAGCATCAGGACGGAACAAAAGGTGTCAACGTCAGCAAAATAGGAATGGAACATGCAGACATGGCAACAACTAGCAGGTACTGGGCACCTCGGTGCTCCTGCTTCAGGTGTTGAAGACAGTGTACAACATGATGATCAACATGATCAAAACTCTCTGCTACTAGGACGCGCACAAAGCAACAGCATAACCCGCAGCGCCGTGGCACCACAGGTACCTGCCACCCTACTGATGTGTCTGGCAAGGCCACACCCCTGGCAATGGCACCGGCCCAACACACCTACTGGCTGACACAGGCTGCATGAGAGTACTAACAGCACAAGACATGCAACCACATGCAGCAAAACGGATAAAAGAGCAGAGGATGCAAGAAACAACCCCAATTCATGCTATGACGCAGAGGCCAAGTCCCTTCTTGGTGCTAGCTGCAGCCGGCCGTCAACCACGTGTAAAAAGGGGTGATCAGCTGGCACAATATCCAGCCAGGTCAAGGGTGCCGCCTTGATGACTATGAAGTCAACCAGCAGCTCCCAAAACCTAGCCACCGCCGCCTTCTTCTTCGTCTGCACCAGCTCATTAAGCTCCTGCTGTCGCCGCTGCTGAAGCTGTAGCTGCTGCTGCTCTCTGTGCTGCCTCACTGCCTCATTATGAGCCAGTTGCGCAGCTGAGGGAGTAGCAGGCTGCAACAACTGAGTGATAAGCTGCTGGTCAGCAGGTGGCGCCCGGCCAGGGCCACCTGCTGGACTGGCAACCAGGTCATGCTGCCTGTTTAGCACATGTTGTAGGTTGGCTGCCGTCCTGCCAACATCCATAGCATTGAAGGCCGCCAAACACACGACACGCCACACGCATGTGAGCACACTCCGCCATATTACACACGACACGCAGCCATATACTACAGCCAAGACAACAGATTGGCTATAAGAACAGAGCAGGCAGAAATGAACCCCAAGCCACGCTACGGCAGCTCTGCGGCCAAGTCCCTGAAGCTGCCTTTTTGGGGGTCCCCCAACCAAGGGGGGTCGCACCCACCGGGCCAGTGCTCTGGCCTCTTGAGCTCCGCAGGTTGCAGGGCCAGGTAGGTTCCCATTCCATGCCCACCAAGTAATGTGCGTTAGGCGCCGCCAAACCTGGTCGAATTTCCTCGACCACACCCAGGGCCGAACCGGAAGCTGTTGCTGCTCTCTACGCTGCCTCACTTCCTCACTATGAGCCAGTTGCTCAGCAGAAAGAGTAGCAGGCTGCAAAACGGGCCACAAGAAGAGGGGTTACATGGTGTGCACAGGCGACTACGTCGCAACGAAAACAAAGAGAGCTGCTAGAAGTTCAGCGGAAAAACAGACTGTCACCCAAAAGAGGCCCACAACGAGAAAGCCTCTGTGCGCGAGACATGACACGTGGCTCTGCAGGCAGAACCGTCAGACTCACAACACGCAGTGTAGAATTCTACTGGGACAAGCAGCATGACTAGGTTTGAGGGGTTACACGGTGTGCTCAAGCGGCTACGCCACAACGGACACCTGGAATAAAAGGAAGCTGCGTGCAGCTCAACGCAGGCTGTCACTCAAGGAGGCTCAACCCCCAGGAAAGCCTCTGTGTGTGGGGCCAGACATCAGCCGTGCTCAGCACGACCCGTCGTCCCCATCACACGCAAATGTTGTTTGCTTGGAAGTATATGAGCATGCAAGCAGTAGTCTAAGCAGTGTCAGTGACAGCAATCTATACATGTTGCAGCACAGGAAGCGGGCTGAGCTGATGAGCATGATGCTGACTCAAGGGCAGATCAGACTCAAAGCAGCATGACTAACCTAAAACAGTGTCGGTGACAGCAGGCCATACTTGTGCAGTACAGCGGGCGGGCTGAACTCAACGGGACAAAGTTGGCCAGTAAAGGTCAATACCTTGGTCCGAGGCAGCAAACAAGGGGGGGGGGGGAGCTGAGTACCTGGCAGCTGCTGCAGGGGCAATGCAACTGCATATTGCAGCAGCCGCACCACAAACCGTACAGCTCCTGCAGCGCAGGACCACCAGTCTCAGGCTTGACAGAGAGCAAACGGGCATAAATACATGCAGAATGGTGGCTATCACCGCCGTACCACACGCAGACCATTACCCAGCAACACAGTGTGCCAGGAGATAAACGGCTGCCGGGTCAACAGCTGGTTCTTGCACCGCCACGGGCCACAGCAGCAAAACGGGCCACAGAAGAAGAGGGGTTACATGGTGTGCACAGGCGACTACGGGCCACAACAGCAGCAAAACTGGCTTCAGAGGCTTTCTGGATTGGCCCAACCTGCTGCTTGGTATCAAACAGCTTCAGGGCGCATAGCTCAATTGGTAGAGCGCCCGCTTTGCATGCGGGAGGTAGGGGGATCGAAACCCTCTGTGTCCAATGCCGAACATCTGTCGGCGTTTCATGTGTGGATCACCACCGGGTTCTCAATCACCCTGGTGTTGCCCGCCGAGTGGACGTGTTGACTGTTTTTTGCAGCCCAGCACAGTTCTGGGGTCAGGGAGGCGGGCTATCTTGACCCTGGAGGACACGCTCAATAGAACCCCAACAGCAGTTGGAGTGACGTCACAGGGATCGGCTACCCCGACTTTGGTGGGCCTGCTGAATAGGAATAGGAACAGTGCATGCTGAGACGCATTCGCCACCTGAGGCGGTGTAAAAAAAAACCCATCGGGCGGCGGTCTTTGCTTGCACGGCCAATGTCTTGCCCCACACACAGGAACTTTCCTGGGGGTTGAGCCTCCTTGAATGGCAGTCTGTGTTGAGTTGTTCCGCAGCTTTCTTTGTTCAGGCGTCTGTTGTGGCGCAGCCACTTGAACACACCATGTAACCCCTCAATCAATCAGTCATCAACCCATCAAGCGTAATAAACACTGTCATGCATGCAATGCCGCAGTGCTGCGGCACATGCGCTGCTGTAATGTAATGTAATTTAATGCTGAGCACACGGCAGAAGTGTTTCATCAGCCAAGAGCACGCCACACACCGTGTGACCCCTCAATCAAGCATGTATACATGTTTCATTTGTGTTGTTTTTGTTGGCTATGTTGCATCAAGTGCTGTCACCTGATCTGTGTACATGCATCAGCTAGCATACGCAACACACTGATGAAACAGGGCCTGCCGACACCAGCAGCAGCACAGCAGTGCGTCGCACCCACCTGCTCATGCGTGTGTGGCTGCCGGATGATGTGCAGCAGCCTGTCCAGCAGCTGTGTCGGCACCAGCACCTCGCCCGCCACCTCGCCCTCAGCAGCACCAGCAGACAGGCTGGAAAGCACACGTAGCCCAGACAGCTGCAGCGACTGCAGCAACAGCAGGAGCGGCAGCATTTGTAGTTGAAAACGGTGTCAGCAGCAACAGCAAACAAAATTTCAGTCAGGCCAGACTGCAAGGTATCAAACACAGCACCTGGCGTCAGCTTGAGCACAACACGAGGCTGGACACACGCAACATGCACGCACAAGCTGCATGTGGTGAGTGTGCTGAGCATCATACACCTCCTGCCTCTTGTAAGGTGGCAAGCAACATGGACAGCATCTGCCTCCACTGCATGGCTTGGCAAGCATGGCCGCGGTGCACCCCTAACCTGCATGCATGCATTTGCACTGCTGACAAGCACGCGCCATCCGAAAGTTTGCCGACTCACCATGTCCCTGGATGCCACCAGGTCGGTGACTGCCTGCACCACGTTGTGCCGGACGAGGCGCCGCACCGCGCCTGCGTAGCTGCCGGCAGCAGCCACCACTTTCACTGCCTGCTCCACCACCAAGCTGTTGCTGCCCAGTGCTGCAAGCACCAGCTGCTGCAGGGCCACATCCTCGCGGACAAGCAGCTCCAGGTTGGGCGGCTCCTCAACCAGGCGGCCTGCAGGTTGGGCCGCGCGCAACAGGGTGCACAGACAGTGTCAGAGCAGAACTTGCTGCCATGTGCCACAAACAGAAAATGTGGTGTGTGAGAGGAGCATCTGCAGAGTGGCAGCACCTGCAAGGAGGGAGTAGTGCATGGCACACACACAAGCCATGCAGAGGGGCAAAGCAGAGTAGAAGCTGACCATTTGGCGATGAACCTTGATCTGCTCACACAGCCTGCCGCATTCTTGCCTCCCATTCTTGCGGTGCAAAGGTGCCTCACAATGCTCACACTAGGATGCTGCTTCACCTGTGCATGCCAACAGGCCTGAGCTGTGCAGTGGCGCCATGCAAGCAGAGGCCTCCAGCCAGCAAACACCACGCCCCAAACACCGCTCCCCACTCACTGAGAGCCCCCATGAGCAGCGGGTGCTGGATGTTGCTGCGCCTGAACACCAGGTTGAACAGCGGCTGCAGCTTGTGCGAGCGTGCGCCGATGACCATGCTGGTGTAGCTGCTGCTGGGAGCCGTCACCTCAACCTCCCACCTGCGACCGCAAACGCCGCCAACGCAGGCGCAGCAAGAACCAGAGCCACGCTAACCAGCGGCCAGCTTGCAGTTTGCAGTCCAGGCAGGTGCAGCGCAGGGACCCCCTGCAGACCTAGATCTTTGCCAGCAAGCGACATAGCATGCTGCTCAGACATGTGTGCGCGCACCTGCCGCTGGCTGCCTCCGCCGGCTCCTCAATGCCAGCACTGCACACATCCACAATTACCTAGCCAGGCGAGCTGGCGCCGCAGCAGCACACTCGCTCACCTGCTGTAGGCTGCGTCTGCGAGTATCCTGACGTTGGCCAGGCTGAGGCTGCGCAGCCCCACAGCAGGGCCCAGCTCAGGCAGGTAGTCCAACGGGTTGCCGTACAGCTGCACAGCGACAAAGGGCGAGGCAGCACGGATGCTATGCACGTCAAGGGTGAGCTATGTTGTGGATGCTGGCCTGGCGTGAAGGTGGCTGCCCGCTGGTGTAACACACGGCTGCTCCAGGCACGTGCGCAGGATGCCCAGTAGGGTGGGGTCAGGAGCTGGACAGGTTGCAGTGGCAATGCGTTTGGGTGACACAGGCAGTACGTTGTGACATGCCAGGGGTGTAGTATGGTCATCAAGAAGCAGCCGCTGCAGTTGATTGCTTTGGGAGCACAAATCAACATATGCAGCAAGTGTAAAACAACCAAGCGCCCACAACAGGACTAAGCGCAGCAGGCCACCTATGCAGCTGCTGTCTCAATCTTTGCCACCACGTTTGCAAGTGCGCATATGTGCTCCATAACCCCGCACCTACCTGCAGTGATGCCAGTGCAGTGGCGTGTGTGAGGTCCATGAGTGGTGTGACCAGCCTGTTGTGCTCCAGGTGCAGCTCGCGCAGGCAGCAGCAGCGCCGCAACTCAGCTGCACACAACACGCGCGCAGCATGGCACAGCTGATGAGAGCAGCAGCGGCCGATGCAGCATACCACAAGCAGCATCATGCCTGTGATAGGCATGGATGATTTGTGCTGAAACCTGAACAAAGGTGAGCTGCTGAGATAGTCGCCTGCGTCTGCTAAACTGGCGCTGGCTGGTTGGCAGGTCCGGACATGCTCTGCCAGCCAGCCACGGCCCCACCCACCAGGCAGTGTTGCCAGCTGGTTGTGGTTGGCGCTCAGAATCTCAAGCTCGGTCAGCATGCCCAGCTGCGGGGCAGTGCAGGGCAGCCAGACAGCCAGCAGGCAGGCGTGTGACCATGGCGGCTGAGCATGCCCAGAGGTTGAGGCATCTGATCGACGATGGCGACTCAGTTGTGGAGCTTGCCACCGCCATCAACACTATCCATACGTAGAACAATCATGCGCAAGTGCGCTGCAAGCCGCAGCAGCTGCTTCCTGCAAGATGCACCATCACCATGCGGCTCCGTGCTGCGGATACGTGGTGCATCGGACAGCTGCAGTGTGTGACGCTCGCAAGCCAACCCAGCCGTGGGCTGAGCTGCACTGCATGCATTGCACAGCTCCAAGCAAGTTCCTGCAAGCTGAGCTAACCCCCTCTGTGCCCGCAGTCATTCTTGCGCGCAAGACAAGTGACATTACTCGCAAGAGGAAGTTGCCAACAGCGACTTTCCAGCTGCCTGCGGCACTGCTGGCAAGCGACGCACCTCTGGCGGCAGGCTGCTGAGCTTGTTGTGGTTCAGCCGCAGCACCCTGAGCCCCCCCAGCTGCCCCACATCTGCCGGCAGCACCACCAGCCCACAGCTGCTGAGGTTCAAGCTCCTCAAGCAGCGCCACTCCCCTGGCGCTTGCACACAGGTTGTCCAGAAGTGCCCTAAGCCCTCGCAGCCTCGCAGCTTCCAGATCCCAGACAGATCCGTGTGTGCCAGCAGCGAAGTCACTAGGGTTTCAGATGCGTTGCCTGAGCCGCTGGCGCGGGTGAAGTGTATGCTGCGCAGCACTGGAGGGCTGCACGCAACAGCGAGGCGAGCTGTGACTGATTGGTTTGGGAAGGTTGCTGCGTTAGGAAAGGGCTCCAAGTCCAAGTGCAGTATCACGCGCTCATGAGTGTGCTGCTGCAGCAACCTGCATGTAATCCAAGGCAGCAAGAGCGCCACAGCATGTGTGAAAGATGCCTGGGGATCACGAGTGAGGAGGCATGATGGGTGCTGCTGGGTGTGTTGCACGAATTGCACAATGGTGCGGGTGAAAGCCGTGCCATGTGAACATGCAGATGTGCCAGCACCATGCTGCAGTCAACATGCAGACGTGCCAGCAGGCAACTGCCGTGCATGGCCTGAAGAGAGGGCACCGAACTTAGTCTATGCTGCAACAATTTGGCCTAACTACAAAGGCCGCCAACCATGATGCAGACATACAACACTGCATTAGAAGACGAGGCAGAGGTGTCACACGGCTATGCCGCAACAAGCAACTGAAACAACGCTGCATAGAAACATGATAGCCGTCACTACGGAAACACAGCAGCATCCTTGCTTGCACTGGCCAGTGCAACTGTCCAGTACCATGGTATATTTGCAGCAGACATGTGATGCATGCTGACACAGCTGCAGCAGTTCTTGCTGAAGGCTGGACTCACTTGCTCTGCAGCCGCACAAACCTCTCCACTGTCTGTTGCTCCGGCTCTGTGCTGCTCCAGTCAAGCTCCAGACGAGCAGATGAAACAGGTAACCTGACTTTCTCCTTGCTACTGCAGGTGCTGCTGCTGTTGCCAGGCGTTTCAGCATGCCCATACTCCAGTGCAACATGAAACGCATCAGGTGCTGCAAATACACGGGTTCTGAACATACTTGCGTAGTTGTGTCGACCCAGCAGCGATCAGAGGCTTGCACACGGGGCCAACTTCCACGCAAACCGCGCCCATGCGCCAATTAATGAGCCAAGCAATGTCAATAACCATGTTTGTTGAACCTAAGTAGCGATCGGTTGCTAGTGTCAGCTGCATCATGTGGCCCTACACGTGGCACCAGGGTCACGGGTGCGACAGGT